ATGTGTTGATCAGTTAATACCAATTTGATGGTGAGTACATGTGGTGCTTGTCTTTCCATTCTTGGGATACCTCACTTAGTAGAATGCGTTCCAGCGGATTAATAAAATGTGGTATATGTATACCATGGAGTACTATTCAGCTTTAAGAAACAATGGTGATCTAGCACCTCTTGTATATTCCTGGATAGAGCAATTAGTATTTTGTTCACTCAAAAGAATGCTCATCATGTGTGACGCAGGCAGAAATTGGAGCTGAAGACGACCGAAGCAGGCCCAAGGCTGATGTCTGGCAAGCAGGCTGCGGCCGTGATCAAAGCTGTTGATTCGAAGTACAAGGCCCTTCCCATCGTGGGACAGGTCTTCCAGAGCGAGTGCGAAAGGTGCCCTTCTGTGAGTATGAGCAAATGCGGGAACAGTCATGACTTAAAACTCTGTTTTCCTTTGGTCTCCAAGGAAAGCACCAGCTTATTCCATGAAGAAAGTTTCTAAAGAACTACCAGCCACCATGGAGCTAGGATGACAATAGTCTTACAATAGGCAGCTGAAATGATGCCTAACACAATAATTAACAGATAATTACCATCCACTCATGTCAAATAAAAAATGTTATGACTGAAGGGCAGCCTTTCAAAAGTTGCACCTAAAATTCAGGAGGGCCGAAGGGCCTGAATTTTCAACCCTTCAACCGAAGAGTTGAAGCTAGGGAGAAGCATGTAGTGTCAAGAACACGGACAAAGGCTGAATCCTGAAGGTTCTGTCACTTACTACTGATCTGTCCACACAGGAGATACTTTACTGACCTCAGTGTTCTGAGTATTGCTGTGAGGACTAAAGAGCTTTCTGACTAAATTAGAAAGCACTTCTTTCCCATACTCTAACTTCTTCTTACAATTACGGCCAGAAATGAGACAGCCCTATCCTTAGGGCAAAGTGTAGATTATCTTGTAACATTTTTAATCCAACAAAGAGAAATTTTCTTTATTTCATGAATCGGTTGCGATGTATTTAAGTCACAGAAGTGACTTTAGGGTCCAGCGTTTCTGAATATTTAACCTCTTGTCAGGAGAGCAAAGCCCTGGCTTCGTGCGCTGTGTGTACCTCCCAGAGGATGCGCTTCCCTTGGATGTGACTGGCATTTAGAAAAGTGAAATCACAAGGAAGTAACACCATAAACTTCTTACAGTGCAAGATAGTAATTCCTTATTCGTTTCTAAAATTGAATTAGGGGAAAAACAAAGCATTTGAAACACAAAATCATATTCAAACGTTTGTTTCTTCTTTTATTTGTTCTTCTTCCATATGTGATTTAATGCCCCAATGTAATTTTCTAATGTTATACGAGATGGAAATTATTTAGGAAAGCGACAAATGAAAGTACTCTTTTCTTAGTTTCTCCCACCACCCCCATAGTTATTAAACATTATGAACCATCTAAGACTTTCAAAAATTATTTCTTGATTATTGTAGGAAGGGTTTATGTCATTAAGAATTTGCTTTGCCAGATTCAGTATAATGTCACTATTGCAGCTCTTTAAAGCAAAAAAAATTTGAATTCACATTGATATGCTCTTGGTCTTCAGAAATGACCCAGTAAATCTTTAGCTAAGTACAGCTTGAATTTTGCTTGGGAATAGTCTCTTAAGATTAGATAGCTAAAAGGGATTTGAAAAAGAGAAAAACAAGTGTCTATTGCTTATTAGAAGTAATGAATAATTTAAAAACTGGTAGCATGCTGATTACTGCAGAGTTAGAAAGGTGAGTATCACTGATAGAATTTAATACATTCTGTAAAACTAGGGTGAAAATAGTAAACCGCGAAAAATAAGTTCTTTAGTTTGCTTCAAAGCCAAGAGAAGCCATTAATCAGAACTATTTACTATTTTTAAAACCACAGTAGAATAACTTTGTGAAAATTACCTTTATCCAAATACTACTCTACTGAATATAGATAGAAGCAACGGATAATTCAGATAGAACTCAGCAATAAGAAAACACTGAATGTCATACAAGCAATACAATAAAGAATAGAAAGCTCAAACTGTTACAAAAATTGATCTTCAGTAAGGTACAGGTTCGTTAGAAATCTGATGTAATTCTTTAGCAGTTCTGATTATTTTTCCCTCCAAAATGTCCTGCTGTTAGTTACCATTCTGCACAATTTCACTATGGTCGTCAAAGCCTGGCCTCAGATATGATTCCCTTGGTGTAGCCCTGGGATGACCTTTCTGCCTAGAAACCAGTTAATTATTGCCCAGGGCTCTTCAAGCTAAACATGAATAGGCAAAAGCGGTCCTCCTACAGAGGGGCAGTCCCCAGGGTTAGCAGGCCTCTGGAAGTTCCAGCGGTGCAATACGGGCGGGGAGCCATCAGGTATATTGAGGTAAGATGCAAAAAGGTTCTTTTGCTTCAGACACAAGGAACATTTTGTTTCTGGGGAGAACACCTTTCGTAAATGCGGATGTTCAGAATTATGAACGGGCCGTGAGCCTGCAGCTCTGTTTTGCAGCTCCCGGAGCACTGGCAGATCGTCAGGAAGCACCTGCAGCCTGCCAACCTCTCCAAGGCCGAGGCCGTCAGAAACTTCCTGGTCTTCGTTCAGCATCTCAGAACTGCAAAGAAAGAAGAGATCCTTCAAATCCTAAAGACAGAAAACAAGGAAGTACTGTAAGTTCCCC